TGTTACCATCTGTGCCAGCAAAAATTGTTTAGGAATGTATAAGCCAGAAATGAGATGGCTGTAAATTACTTGCAGGCTTATAATTTCTCTGTAATATGTTACAATTTTGAGAATAAAACCATGCAATTAGAAAAAAAATTATGCACATACTGGCTGAATGGCACATACACAGACATGTAGATAGCTCTTGTTTCTCCCATGTTATCTGTTAAAACATTTGAAGTCAGAAAATACACAAAGAGTAAAAAAATTATAAAAATAAGCATTAAGATCTTCTTTGTATTTACAAAAGAATAGCGTGTCCATGGGTTTTGCAAATCAATTATTTGTTTTATAAGGAAAAGTGTCTTTTTCCTATATATTGCATTCTTTTATCTTAAAATAGATACTCTTTACTCTCATGGCATAAATGACTGGAAAACAAAATTAGATCCCTATAGTACAATTTTAAGGTCACTGGTATAAAACATTTCTTCCATATTCCTAACAGTAATTTTCTGAAAGCTGCTACTAAAATGGGAACAATTACATACAGTTTTATAGCATGGGGATGCAAGAGAGCTGCTTATCGGTGTCTAGACACTATCTTCCATAAAATTCATGGGCCTACATGTTTCCTCTGAGTGCTGCATTTAGCCTTGGGATTTTTGGTTTAACTGACAGATGTGTATAATCTCAACCATTGGTTAGCTCCCTCGCAGCTAAACAGGTCTTCAGATATGTGTGCCAAAGCCATTCCAGCTGAGGAAGCAAATTCAGCTCATTACATCTCCTCCAGATCTGGATGTTTGAAGTGGCAGCTTAGTAAGGATAGAAACTCTAAGGGTAGAAGCCCAGAAACTCTAAGGGTAGAAGCCCAACTTTACTCTCTTGCCGGATCCAGAATACATTTCTGTTTTGCTTCAGAGGCCACTGATGTCACAAATGTTTGAGTTCAGGCTTACATTTCTGAGAGCTATGTTTATAAGAATCTAAAATGGAGTTCAGCCCACAATATTTACCTTCTCTTCTTGGAACAAATGTTAGGCTGGATAAATAACACTGTGCAGTAATATACTCAATCAAGTATAACACATTAAATGCTGCAAAGGTAGAGTTATGTGGAAGAGCCATGTAGTGGGAAATGACAAGGTACTTTGTTCTATGACAATCAGATTATAACTCTGAAGACTGTAAAAGTTTATTTTCTTCCTTGCTCAGGTTCATATTTCAAAAACATAAATTCACATAGGAGACTGTGCATAAAAGCAAATCTTTACATGATTATGCACTCATCAAAATGTAATTAACATCAAACACTCCCCCTGTCAGATATTGAAGCGTTGCTGAAGACTAGTAGTTAAGTAGAAACCCAGAAAAGTCTCCTTTACTGAAACAGTGATTTTTACATTAACTCTAAGAAAACTAGTGATTGAGTAAATAAAATTTCAGTTGTAACACAAAGGCTTGATCTGCACTATTGCAGCCTGATGAAGTTTCAGCAGATGAAGTTTCTCACTAGGTGACTAGGCTGACGGTTAAACTTCTTTCAGGTTTGGTTAGGACTTCCGCTGCTGGCATGCAACAAGCATGCTCCAGCAGAGGGACAGATGCCTCAAATGAAATGCTTCCAGTTAGTGTAGTCCTTTTTCCCAGAGAGGAGAGACCCTTCCCACCAGTAGGTGCAACCTCACACAACTTTCTTCCAGGACAGCAGTCCCAGGAAACATTTTAGTTGAGGGTACCAGTGGGTGGGTATCCTGACCCCACTCCACTCTCTCCCCTTGCAGACAAAGCCTAAGAATGAGCCAGGTGGCACACAGGGCAATGATTTTACAGGGAGCAGGATAGCTCATTGTCTGCTGCTGCAAGCAAGGCTGAAGGCTGCTTGTGGTGAAAGCAGGTGGGAACTGGCTCTGTCATGGAACCCTACCACATCAAAAGAGAGGTGGGGAGAGGCCATCCAGCTGCAGCTCCTGCTCCTGCTGCAGGGCCTGAGGCAAGAGAGGTGACTATTCTAATGCACTCACCTGATACTGGGAGCCCTGCTCCCTGCACCGCTCCAGGGCACCCAAAAGAATCAGAAGGGAACAAAGAGAGAATGAGAATCTGAACAGCAATGCCCAAGACTGAACACATATGGGATCTGAACAAAAAGCTTTTCACATAAGCATTCTAACATCAACTTAATAGACAGGTACTACTTCTTCACAGGCCTGATGGGGATGTGATTATTGTTGATAGCCCCATCTCTGGAGCATCAGAAAGCAGGCTTCTGGACACTCCTGCAAATTACCTTGTAGACTGTACTCCTTGAGGATCATTTTGTCTCCATCACATAAGCCAGGGCATAACTCGAGTCTTTAGAATCTGTGACTGCTGAATTCAGGAATTCTTGTTCCAGCAATTACAGATCACAAATTATTATTAAATATTATCATAATATTTGTAACAAAAATACTTCTTCTTCCTGCTGTGACATAGTTCTGATTTCCTTCCAACACCTTTCCCTACTTCCATGAGTTTTCTGTAATGTACATGCACTCATAAAAATAAAAAAAAAGCCACATTCAAAAATTAGAATTTTATAAATGTGTGAAATAAATTCAGCTCTTCTAAGTCTCCTGTACTCTATTGCCAGCTCAACAACAGCTAACACTCAGTCTCCTCATCAGTGGTAGACCCAAGGTAGTACAGGCCTCCCACTATAAGCAGAGCCTTGAAATAAATATTTATCATGCAAAGAGAGAAAATAAATTACTTTAAAATGTTTTTCACTAGTCATGCTCAGTGTGTCATCAAACTCTCATAAAAATTGATGTTTCTACACAATTACTTGTACTCTGAACTCAACCGCTTCATCTAATAATTGATGCCTCCTACTCACACATGTTTGCTTAAGTTCTTTAGCCTCTTCTGCTAGGAAGATTGTAAAAACTATGTGTGTGGATATGTAGGAGTAGGCATATACATTCAGGACAAGAATGATTATTCAGAATAAATTATTTGGCTCTAAAGGAAATGAATTAGGATGGATAATTCATAATTCAAATACCTCTAGAACCCCTGAGGAAAACAACATCAGAGGTAATACGTGTGAGTGCTGCAATGCCTTTTTTCAATCATTGTTTCTCAGAACTCATCCAGACTGCTTAGCCATAAAAGAACAAAATGTCTCATCCAGATTTCACTTTATTGTTTTCACTGAAAAGGCTCATATGATAAAAAACAATGGTTTTGTTTTCAAAGCAGCTCCCCAGACAACTACCCTAATCTCTTAATTTTGGAAAGACACATCATCAAAAAAAATCCAGAAGTATGAGGAAGAGAAGGGGAATTCATAATAAAAATTGGGTTTCTCTACATTCATGCTTGACCCGACTTTCATTTACACCGGTACATTGACCTTCATTGAGACATTTCTCCCTCTGAACTCAGGTACTGAAACATTATATAAGCACTCACCACATTTCCAGAGGATGGAATAGCTTGGTTGTACACACAGTCCTTTTTAAAAAGAGCTGGAATTGCCAAATAAAATTACTAAATTTGTGTTCCATAAGTTTCACTTTCAAGGAATGGAATTAGTCAACAACAAATGCACAGACCTAATTATTTCAATTTAGTTTTGTCCATTGGTCTTATCTGTATTACTGAATATTTTAACAATTTGAAAGCAGCAAGTGTGTCCGGTGTTGTGTAAATACTGCGCAGACACAATAAACAGCAGCCAGGCTCTGCCCTGAATGGCGTCTGTGCACTGCGACAGACGCGGCAGACAAAAGGGAAAATCAATTCAAGTACTCGAGGTGAGGAACTGGTGCTTGAAGGTTAAATTTCCCGACACAGGCACGCTCCTTTAGGCACGGAATTCGGCACCCCCGTCCCCATTGATGGCAGTTTTCACTGGGGATGTATCTCCGCGGCTCGGCAGAGCGCGGTGCAGCAGAGGCAAAGCACTCAAAGGCAGTGGCAAGTTTGCCGCCCGCGGGCTGACTCCCCGGGCCGGGGCCGGAGGCAGCCGAGGGCTCGGTCCGGCCGCAGCCGGGCTGAGGCACTCCCGCAGCGCCCTCCTGGCGCCGGCTCCGGCGCTGAGGTGCCGGCACGGTTCGAGCCGTACCGTGGGGCAAAGCTGTCAGGGCTCGCCGTTTTCCCGGCAGCCGCCACACGGCGTGGGAAGCACTCTGGAGGAGCGCTTTCTCTCTGGTGCTCCGGGACGGGAGCTGCGCCGGGGGTCCCGGGCCCAAACGGGCGGGGTCGTGCCTGCCTCCTCCACCGAGGGCCTGGGCACGGCCCGTACCGCGCCTCGGCTCAGCAGCGGCCAAATCCTACTCATCCGCCAGAGGAAACTATGCACATTGTTCACTCGTGTTCCCTCTCCTCGGCGCCTGATTTTCTGCGTGGCGCGGGAAGGGGTCGCAGAGCCGGGGCCGGGGCCGGGCCGTGCCGGAGCCGATGGGGCCGAGGCGCCGTGCGAGGGCTCGCAGCGCCATCTCGTGGTTGCCGCTGAAATTGCAGCGTGCGCCCCGCGGGCCGGGCAGGAGCGCTGCTCGAGCTCTCCTCTCCTACCCTCGTTTTACCCGCGAAATCTCTTCCCAAACTTTAAATGCTGAGACTATACTTACGAAGGTCCACGTTCCTCTGTTCCTGATGAAACCTATTTCTTTTTTCTGGGTTTTTTATTTATTTCTACCCATGCTGTAATTTTATGAATGTGTTTTGCTTTTCCACTCCAAGGAAGTTCAAGATCTTTAGCTTCATGTAACTGAAGGCAAGATATACTCACTTATAAAACACAGACATATGAAAAGCAACAGTTTGTGTCGTCAAAAACTTTCCTTTGATAGGTGCTCCTATTCAACATTGCCTGCTCTTTCTCAGGAACAGAGCTTTGTATATATCCTTTCTATACTAGAGAAAAGGGGATGCACATTACATTAATTAGAAAAGATGATTGATCAAGCAACGCCTGTCTTAGTTTTCAAACTAAATTTTATTTAATACTAGTAAAAATATCTGCTTAGGAAAAAGAGCTTTGCTTTTTTTTTTTTTTTAAGCACAAAAATAAGTAGCAATTATTAGAATTAAAAATTAGCAACAATTAATCATTTTGTGACTATGATTTTGCAAATGAATCAGCAAGACCAGGAACAAGAGTCACAACTGGAATGTTAGGTAGTTGCTTTGGGATAAGGGTAACACAGTAATGTACTCTGATTGTGGGTTGAAGCATGTTTTGATGCACCACATGATATGACTTCAAGGTGCAGTCTTTGCTGGTTCTGTCACCTCAGGTTTCTTTGTAGTTTGTGAGTTCAGAAGTTGTGAGTTCCTGCCAGTGGACGTACCTGTGTCAGGACAAAGCAGAGGCTTGTAGTAATTACACTACTCCCCCTTACAGCCCTTCTGCTGCAGAGGATGGCCCAAACCCAGGTTCACTTCAGGGAACATAGATTCTGATAGAAGAGGGGATGCAGAACCAATCTTGTTAAAACACCAGTGATGCAGACAAGGTGAGTTAGGTGAGAGCACGTGATTCCAAGTTTGTCCTCAGCACCATAAACCACACTGTTGGTTGGTGGAAAAGAATTAAAGATTTTAATGTTCTGAAAGCTTTGGTTTCTCGATAAACATTGTTAAACCTCCACCTGATGGAAAGTGGGAAAATTATGGCAGCTGTTCATCTGAACTGACAGTGCCATTGGTAAGCTGATAGGTTTTCCACTCCTCATGAGATACCAGCCTACTATAGACCTGCACAAAGATCCACTCAGTGACTTGCCAGAGTAGGGTTTTTTCTACCCAATAGCTGTGCATATCGAACATCAGTCAGCAGAAAAAAGGTTGTCTGTCTTTGAAGAAATTCTAAAGCATAAGGATCTGTGTGTTTCGATAAAGCATTGAAGAGTTCACTTGGAGGAAAAATATTTTACTCAGAACTTCCTGCCATGTTTTCTAGGCAATGAACCCAGCCATATTTGAAATTACTGAGCACCTACTGTCTTAGAAACAGCTTTGTTAAACTCCCCAGAGAACACAAGTATTGTGCGGTATATATACCAAGATGATAGAAGATGGACAAACTGGACTCAGTGTGGGAAGGCAGATAGCTAGTAGTCTGCCAGCTGTAAAATCACAGAATTGCAATAAAAAAAAACATGGCCTGCAAAGTACATACTGCATCAACTGGTATTAAGGCATTAATGAGGTAAAAACCCATGTGATCCCTCTTCACCAGGAAACACTGCTTACTCCAACCAAAACTTAAGAGTTATCAGATTAATCAGCTAAAAAAACAGGATTTCTCAAGTCAATTCCTACTTTCAAAATTCCCTCTTTTTCACTGAACAATTTTGACATACCGTGCAACGTACCATTAACATTTATACATTGGATTCATTGAAGGAAAATACTATTAAACTGGTAAAATGAAATTATTTTCACAGATAAATCTACATACATATCTATACACAAAATATAGATAGATGCACAGCAGACAGACGTCCCTACATGCAATTCATTTATATTTATGTAGCTCAGACATTGTAGTTGTGTAAGTCTATCACTGGCATTCCTGATTCACATTGACAGCAAAGACTGCAAGAGCAGTACAGTATGGTTAGTGTGCTCATGGAGCTGCAAGGAGTCTCAAGTTCCCAATCTTTCTCCATATGTGTTGCTGTATACTAAGCAGTGTGAAGTATATGATATTGTATGAAATTTAATGTCACACTCTCAGTCAGATGCAGAATAAAAATTCTTACAGTTCTAAGAGTTTTGCACAGTGTCCTCAGTGCTAAATAATTTCGAGAGTTGAGAGCATAAACTGCTACAGGCTCAGCTAAAGAACTAGCCCTGCTAGTTTAAAGTCTAGAACTAACTCTCAATCTTCAGGATTGATAAAGAGGTGATCACGTAAGTAACCCTGTCAAATGAGCTTCACAGAGAAGTTATTTTGAGACGATTTTCAAAGATAAATTTGAGGATATAGCAATCTACTCCCTGGCAGTTCAGGAATGAAAGACACAAAAATAGTAAGTTGAATTTGTTAACTATGCTATTTGTGGGTCTCATTATCCCCATGGTAATACCATTCATACAGAGATGTAATATACATATGTGTGTATATATGTGTGTGTGTGTGTGTGTGTGTGTGTGTGTGTGCAAATCATATATATGTGCATTACTATTCTTGCTCATACTTTTGTACCACAAAATACTTTGAGATCGCTGCACCTATCCTTTTTTTACCAATGTGACGTCCTTATAGAAAACATAGGCATCTCTCTATAGTTCTTTATCTCACTGAATGCATACATGTCTGAAAGCTTTTCAGGATTGGGGCCAATATGCCATTTTAGCAGCAATGTGCTATCACACATGGCAAGCAGATCAGCAACTGAATGCTATAATGGCCTTTTGAGCAAGGGGCTGACTCAGCCTCTTCCGCAGCCTGTTGTAGAGAGTTTGCCGTCCAACTCCATATTCTCCATTCTGGTGCACTATTCCAGTGGTGACAGGTTTCTGGGTGACTGTTCTGTGGCTCATGATCATCTGGAAGCTGGCAGAAAGAAGTGTAAAGAAGCTCTGCTCTGCAAATAACATGCTGCAAAAAGAAGCCGACGTGAGCAGGGAGTGTAAATAAGATGGGGAGGAGAAGAATGTCTGCCAAAAACAACATGAGGCTTTAAAGGTCTGGTTTCACTGCTAAAAAGTCCAAGCCCTAGCTTCTCCACCTCTAACTGTACCAAATTCAATCACAGCTGATCCCTCTTACTCTGTTCTTTCTCACACATCAATCTCTAAAAAAAGTTATCTCACATCTTTCTGAAGCCTTTAACAAAAGAGTAGTCAATGTGATTTGCAGTAAGCTGAGAAACACCATCTTCCTAATACCATGCCACTGTCATTCCCTGCACACAGGACAGTGCCCTGTGGTTAGTAACATCTTGCTAGAAGGAACTATGGACAAGCCAAAAATGTTATCTTCAATCGTTTGGATGTTCAGCTTTTAGGCCTTGTTCTCTCTTGCAATGCTGTGAAAGCTCTGTTCTTGTTTATTTTTTGAAGTGGATATGAACAGTTAATGCAATCAAACAACAACTGGACCCTGGAAACAAACACAAAAAAAAACATAATCTGACAGAATCAGTTCCAGTACCCTTCCAGGTTCTGGAGCATCAGTATGAGTTCTGATATGGAATTTATCCCCTTCTGTATCCTTTCCATTTTCAAGGAACCTAATTGTTGAGATTAGCTCCAGATGAGATTTCAGCATATCATCTGCATAATTTAGTATGTCCTCTAATTTTTTTGGATAATTGCCAGGCTTCTCAAAACCTCCTGCACATACGTTTATGAAACACCAAGAAATAGAAATATTGAATGGACTCTGTATACTTCCCATTACAGACATCTAAATGAGACCAGCTGTCCAGCAAATAAGGGCTAAAAAGAGAATACTAAAACTTAAGCCTGAAATGCTGAAGACAAGCATGGGAGACCCTGTGTCACTGTGACTCTGGGAGGAACTGCTGCAGAGAAACCTTCTGACAGTGCAGGAAGCAAGGGGGAACAGCAAAACATAGACTGTTTTCAGTAGAAGGTGCCATAGGATTAAGTACTGAATTTTTTTATAGTGTCAACAAGCAAGTTTGAAGTTCAAAGGCCTAATTTTTGTAGAAACAAATGCATCTGCTGCTTTCAATGGGAGACCTATCAGGAATCACTATGCTGATCCTCTGGGAATAAAGTTCACATGCCTCTTATCTTGTTGAATCTTCCCTGGCTACCAAATTAAGTATTAAGACTTCTGCATAACAATTTTCCCTCAAGCATTCCTGAAGTTCTATTACAGCCTTCAGATATTATAGGCATTGGAACTAGAAATTCAACAGCTAAGAAATCTTACAGATCTAGGCAGTCACCCTCCATTCCATGCCTGGATTGCTCAGCACCTACTTGGAGACTTAAAAAGGGGAAAGAGACCCAGAGGGAAGATGAAACTGGGGATACTGCAACCATTGAGGTGGTCTTCCATTTTCAGGGCTGCTTCAGTAATTTTGTATTTTTGCCTATATTACTGTTCTTCTGCACCTGTGGCTCTGACTGCTAGAAAACTGTGCTAAGTAAAACACCATTTTTCTGGCATCCTACTTACACTGTTTTTCTCAAACTAGTTTTATGTGACAATAAATATCTTTCCCAATTTTCATAGCCTTCTTGGACTGTAGGAGTCATATCACCTACAGGGATGCTTTCTGATTTTGTAGATTGATAAAACGATTCATCAATATCTCAGTTCTACTTCAAGAGCCTTCTGAGAGCACAGCAGGCACCAGACCCCACTTCAGTGTTTTGCAAGAATGATAGCTAAATAATTTGCAATGTCATCTGGTCTCCAGTCTTTCCTACAAGCTATTAATTCTCAACCCTCAATTGCCTCAAATGTAAATGAGTGTTCTGGGTAACCAATATATCCTGTCCAGTCAGAATTTCATCTCCCACAGCAGAAGAGAGCTCAGTCCTTCAAAGTAAACTGTGGCTACCCATGCCTAGTGCTTAGGTCATCAGAAGGAAGTGATTTTGTAACTTATGCAGAAGGTAGCTGCTTCATCTCAGAGATACAGCATAAGAGAAAACATGCCACTGTTTGGATCAAGATTCATTATGTAGAGCTACAAGTGCCACCAAAAAAAGTACAGAAAGTACATGATGGAGGATGAGAAGCAGGGTTTGACACACATGACGAATATGAATATGGATCAGGCTGACTTGCGTGGCCTGAGTTCACGGGGTAAGTCACAGAATACAGCCAACCTTGTTACTATAGATAGGCAGAGGAATCTTCTGAAATATTTGGCAAAAGACTGCCAGATCACTTAAAAGACAGATTCAATTTCTAAAAGCTTCCAGAGTCATAGTGCCTATTTAATAGACCTTTTTTTCAACCACGACATACCTGGTTTCAGGCATTTTGTTGGTTTTCCTCTTTTGTAACAGTAATGCTACTTTAAAACCCATCGTGATTCTCTCACTTTTGCATAATTTGCCAGCTGAATCTCCATGAAATACAGCAGGATATAATGAAACCTATTACCCTTTGGAGACAATATTGAGCAGATGAGCAAAAGGTGACAAGTTATCTTTATTGCACTGCTATGTTACTCACTCATGCCAATTAGTCTTTACTGGATTCATTTGGTGCAATAATATAAAGTGCATGGCATGGAACACATGAAGTCTATCTCTTAGACACAGTTCAGGAAGTTCTTATTATTTTCCTAATAAAATTTCAGATAATATCATGAACATCATTATTAGTAGCATCTCAGGGATGGAGCATATA